AGATCATAAACACTTGCATCAAATCCCCATCTCAAATTGTACAACAATAAGGAATTGTTTTTCTTTTGAGATGAACAGTGGGAATGCTGATAAGAATCATGCTTCATAAATCGCTTATCGAATTTCAACAACTTACCAATCAATGGATTTCATTATCATTCTCTATCAATGAAACACTCATTTGATAATGATGTCTTATCGCTGGATACAAGAGCAAGTGTTCAGAACCAATAACACTTAATGAATTAAGGGAGCATTTGTCGATCAACGCGATCATCAATCATAAAGAAATGTTGATAAATAAACAAACCTTGTATAATTGCTACTATTCTTAGAGCCCAATAAGGAGTCCAACAAACAAAATAGTAAGCCACCACAAAAACAGAGCATTTCAGAACTCTACCAAGCGATATGCTTGTACGTCTACCAACTGTACTGTTATGAGTATGGCGATAAAGACGATGAAGAATGGCCACATAAACCGAACAGATTAGTAGTAACGGTATCAAGTAACACGTAAAAACGTGAGCAATATCGAAATTTCTTGACATTTGCACGACGCATTTGGGATGTTCTTTGTAGTTAGCATCAACCATATTATTAATTTCAGCATAATAAACAACTGGCATAATGAAGAATAATGAAAAACAAAAACAAGCCAAAAGAAGGAGTAACGCAAACTTGGAACGACGTAACCAGACCAATGTGGCACGACAAACAGCCACGTAACGGTCAGCACTTAGCGCAGTTAAAACAAGTGGCGAAAGGGACTTATTAGCACCTTCGCAGAAGAATATCAATTTACACAAAAATAAGCCGAATGGCCACTCATTATGAATTATATCTGTAGCTAATAATGGCACAGGCAGCATTGAGATCAAATCGACAACCGACAGAATCAATAAATAGATTGTTGCTGAACACAGCATTGTTGGCTTACAACGTACATTCGACCACTGTGGGCGACAACAACGAAACATTTCCCCAGTGACACTCAGTAGAACCCACAGATTGCCGAGTAAACCCGTGATGGCCAATCCAGAATACAATGCCACCACCCAATATTCAGTTGAATTGGCCATTATTATATGGATATTATTTTGAGAGTTATTCAAAATCGACTTCTTCCATGCACTTCAACCAAATCCACCGTCAGTCAATCTGTGTTGCTGTACAGCTGTGGTAACAGTTGATGCTTGTTGCTAAACATTTCGCGAGAAGAATTCACAGGGGTACACTATAATAGCATACGCGCACACACAATTTCCTTTCTGAATGAGCTCTTCTCAACGGAAAGGAATGAGAGTTGAAACATTGCAAATGTAAAATAACGAATTACAAGCAGTTCACGATTGATGAATATCACTGAAAGTGAGATGAATATCAGTGAAATACCTACATTAATCTAAACTTTATCAAATATGAGAACATTATCCTTAATAAACTGAGACTTAGTGAAACTGATATGATATGATATGAGAGTTTATTGCCGAGTAAAAAATATGTACAAGCAATAATACAGCATGAAACGCGGAGCGCTCTGACATCATATCAGTTGGTTAAATAAATAAAAAATAATAACAAATTAAAATAAAAAAAGGTTGAATAAATGATAGTGATTCAGATGTAATTCTATGCTGCATCTCAGAGGTTGGTTTGTAATGGCAGCATGTACTTATAGTGTTCGTCGGGGAGTAGCTTTTCGGACAGGGGCTCCTCGCGGAGAAGGAACTAGACGAACGAGTCCCCGCAACAAAGTCGGGGAGTAAACTGCGCGGGGGACCTCGTCGGGGAATGACCGCTCCTTGACGGGGAGGATGGGGGACATCTCAGCTCAATTTTAAAAAGATTATTCTTCTTTTTAAAAAAATTATTCTTCTTTTTAAGTATTCTTCTTGCTTCTTTTTTTTCTTTTTTTAAGTATTCTTCTTCTGACGTTTACTTATATTGACTAAAGCTGTTTCAAACCAACTTGTACAGGTAAAAACACAACGACTTAACAATTAAACGGTTTGTGTTCGAAGAACTGCTTAGCAGCAAAGAAGAAGTATATCGTAGATGTTACACATTCGTTATCAGAACGAATGATAATCTAAATTTTTGGATGGAACGAACGGATAAAGGTTTATGATGAGCTAAACCACATGTACTATTCCGTACTGAAGAAATAAGCCTGTCGGTACTCGGATTTGCCAAATGATGGTGGTTTGATTGATTCAATTTGGATCAAATCTCAGCTAAACGGAACTCAAAAGCTGAAGTAAGAAGGAGCATAATTTGTCCAAAATATAAAATCATTAGAATACACAATTCAACAGAAGAAAACGTTCGAAGCCGGACGTTCAACCAAAAATATATTTGTTCTGAAACTATAAATCTATTAAAATGTAAAGAAAAATCCAAACGTGATCAAATGGGCGCGAATCAAAAATAAAAAATTCGAAGAACGAAGAAGAGGAAGAGATTGAGAACCCAATACACTCACTAAATCGACGGACTCTCCCTTTTTTCAGTAATTCTTCATTTCTTGGAATTTTCAGACATCAATCGTGTGCATCAATTATGAATGAGTTCCATCAACTCAACTATAAGCTAGCTTTCCTCAAGGCAACTTCAGTGAGTTGAGTAAGGATTAATTCAATGGAAACACTATAATACCTATTCGAGAATAATCAAGGCTCCTTCTTACGCTAAGGAATTACCATTGTAAAATAGATAATTTGTGAATGAAAAGTACTTATTACATCTTAAATATAGGAATTTCACTCGAAATTAGCCACCTTGTTTCGAATAAAACATATCCGAACACAACTGCATTTTAGAAAAATGCTTAATTGCATATCGATTTTAAAGAATAAGTGCTGATACAATCGGAAAAGGATGACGATAGCGTAATAAACAGTCCAAATTTACTCTTGACTACGTGACTATTCAATAAGTTTTCTTGCAGAAATCTTGCACAAGTGCTATACAAAGATGCAAGAATATAGTTATGGTTCTGAATCGCTCAAAATATCATTAGATTCAACCAGTGTGATCAACTGCCTGGGAACCTTTGTGAAATTCAGCTTCACGAAACATCTTAAATTCCATTGTTTTCCGAAGTTTTTTTAATCCCTTAAATTTTCTCATATCATTTTCTCAAACCTGAGAATCTATTGTTTGTGTTAACAAACTAAATTCTTGACTCCTCTTAACATTACTCTCACGCTGTAGCGAATGGGAACGCTTACGTAAATAGATACACAATTCAATTCAAATTTCGACAAATGAATGCTTCCAATAAAAACAGACCGATGGAAATTTAAAAGAAAAGTGGCGATTCAGTACTAGAGGTGAAGGAAATGAGTGAATAACATTTGAAAACTTATCGAAGTAAATTGGATTAAGCCCACTGATGGATAACCGATGCAAACACCTTAAGGATACTTCATAAAATTTTTGAATGAATTATTATAAATGAATTTCGCAACAGTCGACGATTGAGAAATCCAACCAAATAGCAAATCATTAAGAGAAAGCTCATATTTGGATGAATTGGCGTTAAATTTTCCTATACATCTATATGAGGGGGTGGGTGCTGAAAAGCGAGATGTAGATAATGAAGCAAACCAAAGGAACCACAATAGAAGCAAGTAAAAGTTGGGAACAATAATTAAGAGTTCACTGAGAAAGCCCACCGGTCACACACTTGAATGACCAGAGAATACGGGAATCGCTTTCTATGCGATCCATGCGAGTAAGTCATGATAAAGGCTGATCGTCAGTGCAATAAATGGACACTCGATTGTCATCAAAAGAAAGGCAAACAAATCGGGATAAATGAAGGCAAACAACACTTTGATTTTGGACAATGAAACGCATTTAATCGAAAGAGTATACGGTTTTAAGACTAAATGAGGAAAAATAAAATTGGTTGTGCAAACAAAATATTGCGCGACAAACGTTGAATGCTGCATTCACTGAAATATTTCGATTCATTCACTGAAAAATATATATTCGGTCTCAAATAAACACACTTTTTTGCTCTTCTCATTCGCCGATATGCAATATGGATGATCACAATAAGATGAATGAAAAAATTACGATTTACGAAATGATTACGGAGGTAATCATTTTATTCAATTACCCACCCGGCAAAATAAATTTGGGCATTATTCCTTCATAATTTTAATCAAAAACGGATCAAACAAACGTCATTAAGACATCAATCATTAATCTGATATTTGACTGGATCACGGCTTGGTCAACTCTTTGATAAGATCATTTCCACGTCACAGTGAAATCAGATAGAAGATTACTTTTACATAATTATCCCTCTAATTTTTGTTACTATCATAATAACTGTTTTTATTATTATCATCATCATCTCATTATGAGGATTTTAACGTCCGTCTATCAATATTGCTAACTGAAGCCGTGGCAGACAACCTAACCTTTTGAGAGGTACTGACTGACAGGTGTTGCAACTAAATCTAATGTGTAAAACAAAATGAATCAATGCGTCCATTGATAGTTTAAAAATTACTGTCAACAGAAATATCACACACACAACTGAGTAAACAAACTGCTGCTTCAAAACACCACAACCAAATTTGTTTTATTATTGTTCACAGAATCACTACTTTATCTTCAATTATTACTGCTATATCAGCACTACCTATCATTTTGAACACGCATTTCTGTTAGTCACCACCAGTATTGTTCAAGATCCGCATTCAAAATTTGTTGGTTTCCTCAAAAAAACATTTCAAAAAAATTCAGTGGCCGGAGCTAACACCAACACCGGCATGATAGCTTTTCTCCAGATGCGGATTGCGTCAGAGCCGGTGCAGAGCAGAATGAATTCCGAAGCTGGGACTAAAATTTTTTAAAATGTGGAACCGAAGCTGAAGCTGGACCCGAACTATTGAAAATGTAAATCCAGAGACGGAACCAAAATTTATAAAAATGAGGAACTGAAGCCGGTGTTGGAATTTCAAAAATGCGGAACTAAAATTTCTAAAAGTAGGAAGCTGAAGTTGGAGCCGAAAATATCAAGAACATGGAGTGGAGCTGAGTTGATTTTTTTCGAATTAGGCATCACTGGTTATGACATTAATTTTTCGAAAAGATCAACGTCAAAAATATGAAGCCCACATATAGTGCTATCGTTAGCATCACTTATTCCTGCAAATATCTTGCGAACAATCTATGTCCGTGTCCACTTGTTCTGATCGCAATATACTCGCTGTTAATAGATAAACTTTTACAATCGCGCACATTAAAAAGAAAAATAAATACTGCAGTTGGGGTTAGAGTTGAAACAAACGCGAACCACAGCCGAAAATTGGAAAACCTAGTTTCGAAGATAGAATCGGATCGGAACTTATTAAAAATTCGGAGCTGAATCCGAGGTCGAGATTTTGAAAACTTGGAAACGGAGCCTCAGCTCATACTGGTTACCATTTCACATTTTCCAACTGTCACTGCCGTTAATTCTTCTGTTCTTACTTCCTCTACGGAACAATGTTATTGTCAAAAATATTGCCCAACAACACCGAAATTAAATACTAAAAATTCTACAAACATAAGCTCACAACGGCTCAACATCCGAAGTGAGATAAGAACATCTGGATATCATCTGCTGACTGCTTCGACAATACTGATCAACTTAACGGTAATGAAGAGTTTTATGTCTTATGTAATGACGGAAAACGAATAAAACGTAATGGATAAATGGATGAATGAATGAATTAATGAACAGATAGACAGCACAGTTATGAGATCGAAATCCAAGTTTTTCATGATAGTAAAATTGAATAGATGATGAAATATGGTGACAACGTTTTTGCCATCAAAAAATATCAGATGAAATGTTGAATACATCACAATAACGTTTGTGCATAATGTGAAATATGCACGTTACGGCTTCATTTGTGCATCATGAAAAATTCATAAACAATAAACGTTACTGATATCTTATTATCGCAGCAATAACGATGAAACATATCAGTGAGCATCGTTGAAGAATTGAATTCGCCCTCAATACAAAATTCTAAATCCAAAAAAAACATGACCTCAAATTTCATAAACGAAATTCGAAATCTGTAAAATTTCTGAATTGGAAACGCTTCGAAATTTCGAAAACCGAAAAATGTAATTTCGATTTAGAGCTGTAATGATTCGAAAGTTTCGAAATAAATGCGAGATGAAAAATCAGGATGTTGATTTGGAAAAGGGATGAATTAAATTCACTGAAGTTACTTATATAGCATAAGAATATTCGCATCAATATTAAACAACTCCATTAATTTTAACAATTCCGATAAAACTAATATGGGTGATTCGCTCCTTTCGAGCAATGCCAATTCGTATCATCGAATACGAATTAACATACCACAACCTTGGCCTACGCAAAGTAAGGTATGTTTGTAGTTCGTTGCGGAAAAAAAACGAACTCTAAAGTCGACTACAAAAGGAATATAATATGCCTTGGCCTACGCAAAGTAAGGTATGTTTGTAGTTCGTTGCAGAAAAAAACCAAACTCTAAAGTCGACTACAAAAGGAATATAATATGAATCAGAAAGTAGGCAATAAATTCAAAAAGAGTGAAATCTGATTATGATAATGGTGTGATAACGATTAAGGCGATTCTTCAGATCAAGAATTAAAGACAGAGCAAATCTCGATAGCAGTAAAATTATTTGTTGAATGAATTAGCGTCCCTCGTCCCTAAGTTCTTTAACGACTTGTACGCTTCATTTTATTTTCCCATTTGCTAGAGTCGCATATCTCTATACTTTGCCATCCAAATTACCTTCGTTCATCAACCCTTCATAACACATGTCACTAATTTTGCCGTCCGAAAAGGTTGGCTGTTTCGCCCCATTTTAATCACTGACAATCTTGCTACCAAATTGAAAAGACGAAATCTTGACAATTTCACAGAATGAAACGATGAGATGATAAAACAGCAAAATTCAAATAATTAATTTATAAATAAAATGAAGAAAATTCAACTCGAATCCTTTAAATAGATTTGAAAAAAAAGACTACATTATCACATAATTATTTAATGAAGTGAACGGCAATTATACGATTGAAAAAGAAATCCAAGGCAAAAAAGACTAGAAATCCAATGGTAAATGCATGATGTACAAGTGATGATAATATTCAATGAGAAATTGTATGAGATAAAACAAATTGATGATTCTAATGAGCAACTGTCTGGCGCAAAGCAAACTGATGAAAAAAACGATTCGAAAAAAAAATCGTCCGGAACGATCATTGTTCAAACAACAAAAATCAGAAGTTTATGAGATAGCGAAAGCACGAATCTTGAACAACAGATTATATCAGTACAACCTTGTTTAGAAGTAAGATGGAACAGCTGTCACTACCTTATCGATGATAACATCCGCAAACATTTCTCGTCGCTAGTGAGAATTTTAATTTAACTCATACATACTCAATTTTTAGGTACTCTACTGACACATCTACAGTATAACACAATCAAAAATATTCATTATCAGATACGAGTCAATTGACGAGGAGCACTCATACTTGAATACACAATCGATCCGGCTTTAAAACTTAAGTTATGAAAAGAACAAAATTCGACTCTAATTTGAATCAAACGATTACTGAACAGTTCATCGTCACAACTGAGAAAATGTTTAACGCAATTGAAGATTCAGCCAAAAAGATATCACAATTTATTCATAATCAGCTAAAACGAATAATAAATGCATCAAACTAATCAAAGCGCATAAAATCTTTCATATGCATCGATATAATAATTTTTTGTGATTGAACATTCAGACGGAAAAGTAGCGTTAAAGAAAATCAAAGAACTCAGTGTCTTATGAACATTTCTTGCTTATGCGGTTCTCATTTTCACTTATTCAAAGAATACTTCAAAACGATACAAGAATGCAAATCTCCATCTCTCCTCATCATGAGAACAATGCAAATTTTGAATTCTTTGCAATATGCATTTATTACCGACACCATCCATCTACTTTCTTCAAGTTGTTTTTTCTTGACAAGCTAACAGCATCTTCTTAAGACAACTAAAATGACTTCTTCATGAAATATTTAATATTAAGCAACGCTGTGACAGAAGAGAATAGAATACATATTCGCATAATATGACACGAAAAGAAGCCAGCAAATTGTACCAACTGTAACAAATCGCAAGTTTTAGCTTTAAGCGAATGAACTGAACAGCAAATCGTAAAATTCATTTACTGGTATATGAGAACGTAAAGATGACAGGCAGGCCTCAGTTCAGTTTCAATACTACTTTCAATTTTATCACTGGAACCGAAACTTGCAAAATATTTCAGTCACATGCTTTACCACATTCTTCCGCTCTCACTCATAATAACCTCACATCCTTTACTTCAATTGAGTTTAGTGATACTTGATTAATTTTTTTTTGAGATGGTTTAATCAATTATCAACTTTTACAAGTTTTGCTCATTGACATTGTGCATTCATTTGGATCGGTAACGAGAGTAGTTCATTCGTAACACTAAAACACAATCTTTTGAACAAAACAGCTAAGCAGCTCTCGGCAAATAAACCATCAACTGATATTATCGCAAGGACAATCATTACCAGAAAACTGATGTTAGCAAAAATAAAAATCACTTCGAACCGAACATAAGATGGAAACTGTCGTCATTGTTATCCAAAATAATGATAACAAAACAATCAACTAAATAAAAGTTACCCAACGATGAATACAAACCAACCTTGAGATAATGATTCAACCTTGCAAGCGCTTCGATAAAGAAATCACCACCCTTATTGGTGAACTCGTAACGTCCAGCGGTAAACAGATAAATCGTTTTATCCAAATCGAAATCATAATGTCTGAAAATTTGGTGGATTTACAAATTGCTTTGAGTTGGATTCAGAGCACAGAAAAACTTAATAATTGCGAGTCGAAATTTCATATGACACAGATTGCATTATGTTTTATCAATTTGTGACACTGAAGGAGAATTTCAAAAGAATGGATGCAGTTGCAATGTTATTATTAATATCTGGAATAATAGCGAAAATCTAACACTTAGATAAAATGAACATTTCTCATTCAAAAAGATGAAAGATTAACACATATGAATATTGAAGTGAAGTTGTTCGACGGTTGCATGAAAGAGAATATTTCTAGCTCAAAATATTAGTTACAACAAGATGAGAACATCGTATTGCACTAAACAGACCCATAAAAATGACCACGTATAAAATCGTTAATCTTCTCTTTTGCAATGGCGTGTAAGTTCTGGAATTCATGCAAAGCAGCGAATTTGATGACATTCAAGCCATTTGGTGTTAAAATGTCGGGTTTTCTTTTGAGAAGATGAACTGCTTCAAGACCAGTTATCTCACTGCAACAGATGAAAAATGAAGGAACATGAAGAAAGCGAACGAAAAAAAAACATTTCCCAGTGAATAGCGTATTTTCAAATCATCTTATTCAAACCGTGCTCAAGACCAGTTTGTTGTTGATCGATGAATTTCGTTTGTTCACAAAACTACTTTCAAAATGATTTTTTTTCTCGGAGAACATTTGTTTCGCGTCATAGAATAATTGAACCGATAAAAACGTTTCAAGAAGTCTTAATTACAACAACATATCATTGGGGCAATGGGACAAACATTCTTTTTATGACTTTTCAATTCAATTTTTAAATCTTCCATCATAAATTTGCATTCGTTAAGTGAAGTTCCTAGCTAGTGACCATATGAAAAACTCTCGCTTCTGGATTGGAAGCTCATAGCCATCATGGATTAATAAATGTTGGAATTGAGAGAAAACAAGAATATTGAGAAAAATTTGGAGCGATTCATCATAAACAATGGGTATGATTGATAGTGAAGAAATGATTATTCACCTAACTGTTGTAAAGATATGCGACATGTTGACAGCCGCCCTTTCGATACAATAACGATGATAGATTTGACGGGTGCCTGCTTCACGATCCACGTCGAACTAAAGATAATGAAAATGAACACAGTTTCTAAACAAATAAGATCCCTCATTACTCATGCATGTAGAGAATGCATGGCGACTGATTGAATACTTATGATAGGTTTGCAGCATTTGTGAAAAGTATTCGAGATTCGACATAAATTATTATAAAGATTATGATAAAGATCACCTTCTCTAAATTATGGTAAAGATCTGCGCCAGATGCACTCAAATAACGACCCAAAAGGGTGGCATGCGTCGTGAAAACTGTCGAAACATTCGTTTTCCAAAGACTAAAATTAACTCAAGATATTAGAAAAAGATCAATAGAAATTTTACAATAAAAAGTCAAAAGAATTGTTTACCGTGAAAGAATCAAGCCTACTCCTGCTTGCCACTCATGAAAATGTGCAACACACAGTGGTTCGAAACCTTCGATCGCCGAAATATACTACAATGAAGAATCGTCAGCACTTTACCTAATTTCATACGATAACATGCTGTTCACTGCAAACAATAAAAGGCCTAGTGTTATGGTAGTTTCGTTCGAAAACAGCCAAGATACGTATGAATATACTTAGATATATGTAATGTCTGAATCAGTTCTATTAAAAAAACTGGTAACCGACTTTTTGAATAAAGATGGCAACAAGAAATCCCAATATGACCGCATCATTTGATTCTTTATCATGCCATGGTATACCGATCTTACACGACTCCCATAACTAAAATGCGATAAAATGAAAATTAATTTTTTACGCGAATGAATACGAATGATGCGATTATATAAACGCTCACAAGAAATTAATGAAATGAATTGACTAAATTGGGCATTTTCAAATGAGAAAGATGATTGACTATTAAAAAATTAAACACGAAGATCGATTAAGATATACAGAGTGGCTATCACAACCTCATATTTCCACTGGTCCAATTTCCAAGCAGCCGATCCAATATCAAAGAGGACAACATGTGGGTATCCATCAATCAACCAACGTCCAAATACCACCTACAAAAATCTTAAAGTCATAATATTGATTAGCAAAAGACAAACAATCGTACAGATTCGCAATGATTTAGTCGAAGAAAAACAAGATAAATACATAAGTTCTTCGATGAGTTGATTCTGAAATAACGGCATCTTAAGTCTCGAGTTGTAAAGGACAACAATATGAACGTATCATCCTACTGAGCGCATGAACTTGGATTCATTTACTGAATGATTCACACTGATCGATTCAAGAGATGAGAATAGAACAGGTGGAAAGAAACAGCTGTAACGAACTTTGAAACCGATTTCTTGCATCTGTTCTAATGCATACTTCATGGCAGCTGTGTTCGGCTCAATCATTTCCACCTTAAAATCATAACTTATTTTCAATTATTCAACACAACCATAGTGCCATACTCGTTCTTTACGGCGTGCCTTTCAAATTCACGCCAACGCTTTCTTTAATCTGTCACTTATTTGACGTTCAATCGAACAATGACGTTTCGAAACAATCAAAAAA